GACTATAACTCTTTATGGGAGTAGAAAGCCTCATCATTCTCCTGAGAAGTCTCTAGTGATTTCTAACCGCCGGCCTTCTGGTTAGCGGCGAACTATATAATACACACTACACCACCAGGGCTCTCAATAATGCACTTGTCTTAATCTTGTTATAAAACCAAAAGCCCAGGGCCATTGAATCGACTCCGACTCATAGGGACCCTGGAGGGCAGAATAGAACTGCCCCTGTGGGTTTCTAAGGCTGTAACTGTAAATTACAGTTTCCTAGACTGTAATTCTGTATGGGAGTAGAAAGCCGCCTCTTTCTCTCTCAGAGCAGCCAGTCACTTTGAACCGCTGACCTTTCAGTTCATAGTGAAATGTGTAACCACTACACCACCAGGGCTCCTCATTTGGAGGCTCCTCATTAATCTCATCAGGTTGATATATATTTATATTTATATGTATACACACACACATATACACATATATATACACATATATATCATACATTACAAACATGATCCAGAGACTGAGGTTACATCAAAACAACGGCTTCCAAGGGGATCTTCTGGGCCAGTTATATTCAAGTCAGAGAAACCAGCTCGAAACGTTATGGTGCTGTTTTTTGGAAATCTAAAGGGGACTGTCTTGTTAGATTTCCTCAAAGGACACATCATAACATTATGAAGAAGTTTTAAGAAAATGGAAAACGGCATTGATGAGAAAAAGTCTGGGAAAGTTGCACTGATGTCTGTTTGTTTGTTTGTTGTCCACCTCATGACCACGCACCTGCTCATTCTTCAAGGGTAACAAGTAATGTTCTATGGGACTGTCGTTAAGAAATCTTACCGCATCCAACCTATAGTCCTGATCTTGTTCCTGTAGACATCTTCTGGTTCCCAAGACTCAAAGAACATTGAAAAAGAGCTCAATTTTAGTCACCCAAGGAAGTTCAAACTGTCGTTTTGCTCTGGTGTCAATTGAATACTGCATAATTCTTTGTCGAGTGATACAAACACCACCTTCTGAAGTGTATAGATCTAGATGGAGTATATGTGAAGAAACAACAGCTTTACATTTTGCTAATTTTGTGTAATGAAGGTTTCTGAGAGTTTTTAGCTTTTTTTGTGTGTGTACTGACCCTCATATTTGTGATAGATATTGGTCAGGTCTTTGAGGTTTTCATTGGTGAATCTCAGGGGTATTGATTTCTATTAACAGAGGTTGACAAACCACAACCCAGTCCGAGGGCCAAAGCCAAGCCCTGTTTTTCTAGTGATTGTCAAGCTAAGTTGTTTTGTTTTTTAGTATTTTAAAAGTGTTGTAAATAAACAAATAAAAAGGAAGATACAATAGAGATTGTATGTGACCTGACCTGCAAAACCTAAAATGTTGACTTTCTGGTCCTGAACAGAAAAGGTTTGCCAGCCCAGGAGAGGTCAAAACTGACGACCTGTTAAAATACCTATCAGCTGCAATGACTTTTTCATTTTCTCAGAACTGTATTGTATTTTAAATTTACATTAGTTACCAGCCTAGGCAGGCTATGAAATGTTGATGCTAAGTGAGATTTCCAGTTTCTTTTGGAAACTGGGTGATTTTGTAGCTCTTAAACTCCCATACCACAAGGAAGAAAATCAACTTAAGGTAATGAAAAAATCCAAACTCACTGCCATCCAGTCGGCTCTGACTAACAGCGATCCTGCAGGCTGGAGTAGAACTGCCCCTGTGAGTGTCCTAGACTATCGCTCTCTCTTTACAAGGGCAGAAAGCCTCATCTTGCTCCGATCAAGATAAGTAGGACTGGTCAAATAGAACTACTTGTATAAGGCCATGAGTTCATTAGTTAGGGGAATGCCAATATATAGCGATTCCCTTTAAGTCCGTTTTCTTTCAAGTTGACAAACTGGCTTAAGATCAGTAACACTTCACAAAAAGCATCATTGACAAATCACTTAATGTTCAGGATGCTCTTTCAATTCTATCACTTTGGCTATTGACCAGTCTTCTCACTATATAGCATATCTACCAGAACTCTGCCCTAAGATTAACCAGGAACCATGGATTGGTTAGTCAGTTTTCTTCCAGCAATCTGAAAAATAACCTGTTCTAAAACTGATGGTGGTGATGATTGTACAACTCTTCTTGAATTGATTGAACTATTGAATTGTATGATATATGAATTATATGCCAATAAAACTGCTGGGAGAAAAAATAGCCTCGTTGATCCATTATCACAGAGCATCAAAGTTATAGATGGGCTTTGGGGTAGGCAGAGTAGAATTTAATGTATCCGCTGCCATGCCATCTCTAAAGAAATGTAACTCTCAGTAGATAGTTGCTTTCTCTTCCAGTAAATCCTTAGGTTTAAAAGAATGCCCCTGAGACTGTGCAAGTTGTAGTTGCCCTTTGAGTCTTCAGTCAGTGGCAGCTCACTAAGACCGTCAGCTGAAAGTCCCACCACTTATCATTGCCTGTCATTAAATGATATCATTGGATTAAAGTACTCATCATATATTGATAGGTTGGAGGAAGGAATATCTAGGTGATCATAGGAGTCCTTAGTTTACAATTAGAAGAGTCAAAAAGACTTGCCTGAAGTGACACAATATTGAATGACAGAGATAAACCTGATCAATGAGTCAGTTGTCAATATATCATACCTCTCTCTGGTAAGCATCATGAAGGATTCCAAGGATGGAATTTTTCCTGTCCTGGGAAAGTCCCTCTTTAGAAGGGAGGAATGACATGCAAAGTGACAGTGTAAAGCTGAATACTTTTTGTGTGCCATATGTAATATCTCAGTAAAGAAAGGCCCCTTGCATATATAAAAGTATATGTGTGTGTTAATGGTTGCTATCAAGTTGAGGAGACTCCAACTGATGGCAGCTCCATGTATGTCACTGTAGACTTGTGTTACATAGAATTTCCAGTGGCTGATATTTTGTAAGTAGATCACTAGGACTTCCAAGATAATTTTGAGTGCACTCAAACCTCCAAAATTTGATTAGCAGATGAGCACCATTTGTTCCTACCCTAATGAGGCCATGGTGGGAACTGAAGGCATGGAAGCAATGCAGTAGAAATAGGTATTTGTCGAAGATTAAGTCACTTCCTGTGATAGGTAGGTTTATTGTGCCAACCTGGCCAATTGGAACATGTGGGATTAATCAGGTGACAGTTTGATTGGAGAGCAAAGAAATAAATGGCTTGGCAAGGCCCACCCCGCTCTCTTGCTCTCTTGTGATCAGACCAGTGTGTGGCTGCTTTAGTAAGTTCTCTTCCTCAACTTGTGAGCTACACTACCTGTGGGACAGCCAACCTGCGAATCGTGTTGCTGGAGCTTGAGCTTCCTTCAAGACCTGCTTCGCCATGCTGCTGGTATGTACATCACTTGAACTTGAAACTATTGGCTCCTGTCATCTTGCATTGCTTGAGTTTGATATACTATCCAGGCCTGCTTCGCAAAGCTCCTGAGCTGCTGACTGTTGGTGATCTGCCCTGTTGTTTGCTGCCTGTGGGTAGACTCTACCTGCATTGCCCGAGGGAAGACTCAGCTACCTGCTTCCTTGACCTTGGACCCAGCAGCCCTCATGAGTTGGACTTCCAGTATATTAACTGTTCCACAGAAGTGAGTTGAACTGTACTCTGTACTGCTGGGTAGACTAATTAGCTGTTATATTACTTCGTGCTGTATAGGTGTCCTGGTTTTGTTTCTCTAGAAAACCCTGCCTAACACAACCATGGAATGGCAAAAGAATCAACGACTCTGTCTTGAAAAAATACAACCAGAATGCTCCTAGCAAGGATGATGTGAGTTTGTCTCAGTACTTTGGACATGTTGTAAGGAGAGAACAGTCCTTGGAGAAAGACATCATGCTTGAGATGTATCCCAGCTTAGGTATCAATGGCTTCTGTTGCACACTTAAGCCTCTCTACGCCCTCTCCCAGGAGACAGTCTCGGTTGATGAGCCCTTGCTCCACAGTAACCTTGAATGACCAGAAGGCCATGATCAAAAATGCCGACATGTCGGAGGAGAATGCAGTAGGACTCGGGGGAGTGTACTACTCAATCCTTGGAGAAAGACAGCATAGAAAATAACACTGCAGCCCACACCAAGAGGTTTGACAAGAAGCACAACCCCACTTGGCATCTTGGACAGCAACTTTGGTAGTTGTATGACACATGAGTTTAATTAAGCACTTAACTATTTCTACCATGGCCAACTGGCCATCCTTCCATTCAAATCTGGTTAAAGCATGGGTTGTGCCCACACACCCTGTGACCCATCCAAAATCAAGAACTGCTGCCTCAATTCCAAATAGCAGAGACGAGAGTCTTCAGCCTTGCTAATACCTCCGTCTTTGAATCTTTGAAACTTTGTTGTGTTGTTTGGTACAAGACTTTCTCTGAACTATTTGTTGTCGTTATAAAACAATTAGCAAAATGGGGTGGGGGAGGAATTTTAATTAAATAAAAGGACATCGTGCTTGGTAAAGTAGAGGAAGACCCTTGACAAGATGAATTGGCACCATAGCTACAACAGTGGGCTCAAACATAAAAACATCTGGGGGGACGGCGCAGGACTGGGCAGTGTTTGTTCTGTGGTACACAGGGTCACGAAGAGTCAGAAATGACTCAAGGACACCTAACAACAACAACAACAAAGCTGTTCAGTGGAAAATGATGCAATAAACTAGGCAGTTTCCCTCGAGTTTTGGAACAGGCAACAGTATGGATGAGTGGATTTGAAATCTGATAGGTTTGGTTTAGAGTTGTGACTCCAGTAGTTTAACTTTAGGAAAGTTTCTTACCATTTCTAAGCCTTTGTTTCCTCTCTCTTCAATGCAGATGTTGAGATTAAAGAATTAAGTGATCAAATAGAAACACGACAATGAATGCTGTGTTCTAGCACAGAATTATGTATTCAATGTGTGGTTGTCATTGAGTTGGCCTCACTCATGGCAACCTTATGTGTAACAGAATGAAATATTGCCTGGTCGGCGCTGGGATCGCTATGGCTACTGAGGGGGATGTGGAACTGGAGTGGGAGACTGAGACCAGTGGTCCTGAGCAGCCTCCCGAAAAGCCTCGGAAGCATGACAGTGGTGCAGCAGACCTGGAGCGAGTCACCAACTATGCAGAGGAGAAGGAGATCCAGAGTTCCAACCTGGAGACGGCCATGTCCGTGATTGGAGACAGACCAGACAGACCAGCCCGGGAACAGAAAGCCAAACAGGAGCGGGCGAAGGAACTAGCAGAAGTCACCATCAAGAAAGAACATCGGGAGGGAGGGGACAAAATGAGGAGCTGATGCCAAAGGCTGAAGTGAAGAGCAAATAAATGTTTTGAGAATGAGGGCAAGGAATGTACAAATGTGCTTTACACAATGGATGGATGGGTTGTGATAAGAGTTGTACGAGCCCCCAATAAAACCATTAAAAGAAAGAAAGAAGCTCTGGAGCTGATACTGACCACATGGAGCTCTCCAGAGCAGCCGGCCGGAGCTTGCAGGAGTGCATGGGCCATGTGCTGGAGACTCTTATTGCACTGACCATCTGGTTCATAGATGCCACTGGATTAATGTATTGCAACAAAGATGCTTTTGTTTTATTATCCAGGAACATATATATACATTGCCTGCTCCTGAGTCATCTCCATGATCTTTGACAGGTTTGAGTCATTGTTGTCAATCCATTGTGTCGTTCTGTTTCACTGAGGTTTCCTTCATTTCTACTGACCTGCTCGCCCAACCACGAGCTTCAATCTAAGACAATGAAAGATAGGCCTTGCCATCTGGCTTCTTAGAAGCATTCCAGTTATATTTATTGTATGTGATCAGTAGAAAGTAGCGATGTCATGCCAAGCATATAAGAAGTTCTTGCAAGAGAAACAAATCCTCCTTAATGCAAAAATAGTGACAAAGGTCATTGTCACGAGGTTATCGCCCTCCAAGGGATCCTCCACTGGGCCCACCAGTCCTCACCTCCATCTTGAAGCCCTTGTTACTGCTGCTGGGGACTCTGACTTTCCCTCGCCCTTGCCCTCTTTTCACCACCATCACCTCCCAACCAGCTTCTATATTAAGGGCATCCCCACTCCTTCCAGAGTGAGAGATGATCAGGTACTGGAATCCCAAATTAGAACTTGGGGAACATTTTTCTTTTTTAATAGAAAAATATTGTTATACATGGTGGTTAAGGACTTTAGCAGAATTACTTATGGGTGAATGGGCTTCCTTGGCCATATCTAGAAATCTACACCATTATTCTAAAATTGTCCCTATGGGAAACTATGTCCCAAGTTCCGAACAACTGACTTAGAAATAAGCTACTGGAGTGCACCTTGTTTGGGGAACTGTAAGCCACCATTCATAAGTCACGGTTAGTCAAAACGGGAACGACACATGTTCTGCCATAATTGAAGTTTACTACATGTGTATTTCTTTAGTGCCCTTGAGAACACAGGGTCTGGAATTATTGTAAATAGTTAAACTGATACCATAGGTCTAATGATATTCGTGCTACTAAATCCAGCAGCCCAGATGTGCTGTGCAGGTGTCCTTCAGGCATTTTTAGATTGGAATCTTTTTAAGGAAGGCAGAAAGAGCTTCCTGCTTTTGCCAGCCCCCCTGGTGGTTCTTCAATTGCTGTGCTGAAGAAAGGCCCTCCCTCCTCCTCCTGTCCTCAGAAAAACTTCTCTGTCCTTGTATGGAAACTGTTCCACAACAGCTCTTGGGACTGACATGAACGAGTTGGACCCTTATTAGGATCTAGGCTTATAAGTCAAACAGCTCAGAGGCTAAGATTTAAGTGTCTCCTGTAGATGCTATATGGAGCAACACTATTGGACTAGGGAACAAGTCCTTAAAAACACTTCAAGAAGTATGAACACAAATGAGCTGTATGAGGCTGGTGTCCTAACAAAAATCAGATACCTGTTTGAAATTCATTCTCAGCCCCAAGAAAGCAGGTGTCTAACGTTCTTCCATTTTGTCTACCACAAAAAGCATTAGAACTGTCCTAGCTGTCTTTTGCTTCCCTTTTAAAAAATACAGTCCTTTTCTTTTTAGCCTTTTTAAAGGAGGGAGTTAAAAAAGCAGAAGAAGGCACAATCATTAATTTTTTTTCTTTCTACCCCATTGTCAAAACTAATTTTCAAGGAAGCTAGAATATAAGCATCCTTTTTTATATGATGAGAAGACTTATTAAAGCCCCTTCCCCAGAGTGTTTGCTTTGCTCAGTGGAGTAGCTAATACGAACTGCTATCGAGTCTATGTTTCCTCATAGTGACCCTATAGGGCAAGGTAGAACTGCCCCTGTGGGTTCCAAAACTGTAAGTCATTACAGGAATTAACAAGCCCTGTCTTTCTCCTGTGGGGAATCTGTTAGTTTTGACTTTAAGAGATAGTTGTAGCTTTTTGAGAATTATAGAGCTTAAGCAAACTGGGAAACTTAAAAAAAAATTTAACAAAAATTCTTGGAACACTATGGCCCTCCAGTCATTTATGAGCTTTCTCCTTCATACCATTGACAGAGATGTTTGACCGGGTCCACATTATGAAGAAAAACAGTTCATGCACAAATAGAGAAATAAGAAATTACTCATCCTTAGTACTGTACTAAAGTCCTTTTCATTAATTAGCTCTTCCTTCCCATTTTGGCCACTTTAAAAAATATATCTTTCATTGTGAATTGGGTGAAGGTTTACAGATAGATCTGTTTTCCACTCAACAATCCAGACACATTTTGTTTCATCTCATTGATTGCAATCCCCACTGTGTCCCATCATTTATCCCGCTCGCTCCTGTGTTTCCTGTTCCCGTGGCTCCTTCTTTCCTTCTGACCCTTCTAAAAGTTGTCCTAGAGGGAATGCTGCCTTTTTTATCTCAGTGTTGATTTTGCTGAGATATAAGTACTTCTCTGGTGTCATTGGTGTCATTATTCCCCAGATCCACTTGTCTGTTATTTGCCTGAAGATTGCGCAGTGGAAATGAATTCATTTCCAGACCTGAAAGGTAACTATGGGCCAAACTCTCAGGGATTCCACCAGTCTCTATCTAACCAGAAAGCCTGAATTTTTTTCTGGTTGTGAATTTTGTTCCACATTTTTCTTTCTATATCCAGGACCTTCTTTGAATGTGATTCCTTTCAGAGCAGTCAGTAGTTGTAGATGGGCACCTCTAGTTCTTCTGCGTCAGGGTCATGGGGCCTGATGTTCTCATGATCTATTGTTTCATTAGCCTAGTAGTTTGTACATGTCTTTGATTTTCTTCACTCTTCTCTCCTCTAATATTGCCCCTTAGATGGCCACTCGGGAGCTTTTAAAACCATCACCACTCACCAAAGTAGACTGTAGAACATTATCTTTGTAGATTTGGGTCAGGCCAATGGACCCTGTGTTGTTCCTCGAAATCATGGGCCTGAACCCTGGGGCCAGCAACCTATTCCCTCAAGGTGTTTGCTTATGTCTACGAAGTTTCAGTAACTCTTCCCCTGTATGCTCTACAACATTCATGAATATATTTACAATCAAAGTAAATACAGGTGCAATAAATATCCTTTGTGAAGCATATATGTGTGTGGGTGTATATATATGTCATAGATATATATGTATATGTGTGTGTATATATATATATATATATAGTCATAGATGTGTTCACACTCTCCCTCCAGCATCCATCCAGTCTGCGAGTCTATTCAAGCATCTACTAGCAAATAACTGTTATTGCAGGATTGCATATGTAACAGTAACTACCTCTGTTACTTTAATTCTTGAACTCCTTCCAGTGCCTCACACTTAATGTATAGAGGATCCCCCCCCCCCATTTACCCAAGTTAATACAAATCTGCTGCACAGCCCTTCTTTGAAGTGTTGAAGAG